ACCCCAAAACAAAAAACCCCCCCCCCCCCGAAAAATTTATGTCACCGCCTCCGCCCGACCCTATTGGCCCGGCAGAGCGGAAGGCAACAGGGTCCGCGCCCCATTGGCTCCTGGGCGGAGGAGCCACAGTGTCTTAAAGGGGCCAGAGGTGTTTCCTTCCCCCCCCCCCACGTGGGGGAGGGGCAGCCTGAGGACTCCCCACCTTGAGGGGCGCCGAGGCGGACACACGCAGCACACGGGTGTCCACATCCAGGCGCACACGTGAGCACATGCAGGCACGGGTGTGGGGTGCCACGGCTCAGGCCGGGGTGCTGCAGCAAGACCTGGGAGCGACGGTGACCCGCGCTGCGGCCTGGCCTGCGGCACAAGCACCGGAACGTGCAGCCCCGTGCACCCGCGTGCCCGCCACTGCGGGGCCCAGCCCGGCCTGTGCAGCCCAGGGGCTCCCCTGCCTTCCAGCATCAGCAGTTAGTCCCGAGAGTCCTCGTCGTTTCTGCGCTCAGGAGCATGAGCTTTTTTGGGTCTCCGTAAGGGCGCGAGACTCCCCTGCCCGACGCGGCCGCCCGCCTTTGCCACGGTCAGGCCGGGCCGGGCCAGGCCAGGGGCAAACAGCTGCGCCGCAGACCAGGGCTGAGCGGCTGCCTTCAGCAGATACTTTGCATTTTGGTAAGAAGGGAGTCGCCTGGAGCCGTCCTGGCACCCTCGCGCGTCCGACCCCTGCCATGGCAGGAAAGAGTGCTGGGGTCAAACGACCCCAGCAAGGTGTACATCCAGCCTCCTCTCAAAGACACGGAGCTGACTCGTGCACTTCCAGCTATTTAATGCAGACAAGTGCCCATCCAGAGCGGGCAGAGAGGACTTGCTGGAGGCTGCACGAAAGCCCTGGAGTGGCTGGGATGGCCCCTGTGCTTGCTGCGGAGGAAGGGCATTGGAGACGATGCAGTGGGTGCCACGTCCCACAGCCCCGGGACCTCCCCAGGACACAGGTCAGGGCACGAGGGGCTTGTCTTGTTGGTGCTGTGGAGCAGGGGTGGGGTGTGCAGGGCTCCTGCAGCCCAGCTGGGGTCCTGGTGCCCTGGGCCAGGCTGGGTGCTGAGCCAGGAGGAGCTGCAGGCAGTGGTGGGCTGGCGGGGGCTGGTTGGCACGTCCAGCCCCGCTGTGAGCCCAGGCAGATTTCTGCCCTCGCTGGGGACGGCAGGGAGCACCGCCTGGCGCCTGCCCGCAGCTGGCTGCAGTCCCTAAAAGACCAGCTCTGCGTAGGTGATGTCTGCAGAGAGGCAGGCACGGGTTAGGAGCTGCGGGGGCTGTGGCTGAGCCCCGCCCTCCCCAATATGGCGTGCGAGGTGTGCACGGGCAGGGTCCCCCCCGCACCCACACGGTGTGCCCACCCTAACGCACGCAGCATCTGGGGCCCCGGGCACAGCCATAAGCCCCCCACCAGGTGCACCCCAGCAGCCTCTTACCTTCCCCCGGGGTTGGAGGGAGCCAGGCTTGGGGCTTGGGAGCTGCAGGGACAGCAGCCAGTGTTGGCAGGGTGAAAGGCCCCCCACCCAGCCCCTCGCCGGGGGCAGAGTCTTTGTCCACCCCCAGCAAAGCCCCTCCCCTAGGCTCAGGACGGGCTTTGTGCCCCCAGCGGCCCTGGCCATGCAAGCCCTAGTGCAAGGGAGAGCCAGGCAAGGCCCGTGGGAGCCCCTGCTCCTGATCCCCCTCACCTGCGCCAGCGCCAGCCACCCTCGTTGTGTTCAGCTCTGCGTAGGTGCAGCTGCCTGCTGGGAGCACAGGCAGTGTGTCGGGGGGGTTGTGCCCAGGCCCCCAAGCCCTCAGGGTCCATGCCCTCATGGGGGCCCTGAGGGACAGCCAGCCTCCATGCCCCCAACCCTCCATGCTGAACCCCAGGGGAAGGGGCCCTAGGTGACCCTTGCCCCCTCACAGCAGGGCACCCCGTCTCTCCCTGGGGCTGGGGCTGGGGCTGCCTGCATGGAGCAGCCTTGGCCCAAGCCTGGCTTCAGAAAGGGGCTGTCAGTGTGGCAGGACGTGCTTGGAGAATGCACGGCCTCCCCCGCAAGCTCGGCACGGGGGGCACGGGCGGTCAGACCCCTACCTGCATGAGGTGTGTCGCTGGCCGGGCTGGCGTGGGCTACGCTGTCCCTGTGAGAGAGAACCAGGGGCGAGCGCGTGAAACGAGCAGGCCAGCAGTTTGTAATGAAAAATGGGAAGTTTGTCTTCCCCCGCGGGTGGTTGAAGGTGGGGCTCATGGCCACAGGATGTGCTGGGAACTGAGTACAGCCAGATGCACGAAGGGGCTAGACACGTGCTTGGAGGAAAGTGGCATTGGTGGTGATGGGGCAGGGAGCGAGGGGCACGGCCTCTGCATCAGACCTGCCTGGGCCCTCAATGCAGGAGGCTGCGGGGGAGAGAGGAACAGGGGAAAGCCCTGCTCAGACTCGGTCAGTCTGCCTTCAGCCTCTGCTCTCTGCCCATGTGACATCGGAGACAGGGCAAGACAGACCTGGGTCTGAGCCAGCTCTTCTCTCCTGAGGAGACCTTACAGCTGGTGCCCACGAAATGCAGCCTGGCCCCATGGCCCGGCCCCACGGATGTAGCCCCAGGCTTGCAGGGGAAACTGGGATCATGTCTGCGGCTGTGAGCAGCTGACACCAGAGGCCCCGGCGAGTCCCCGTCCCTGCACCCAGTGGCTGTGGGGTCGCTGTGGAGGGAACAGCCCATGGGGACCCTGGGAAGGCGGTGGTGCAGGGCAGTGGGCACCAGTTGGAGGAGGGAGCAGATGGCCCTGCCCCATGACCACCCCCAGGGCATGCCCACGCCACCCCTACTCCCCACCCCGCAGCACCTTGGAGCTGGTATAGTGGTGGAGCTTACCTCTGCGAGCCCTGGCATCGCCCTAGAAGAGAGCAGGACAGACCCTCAGTGCCTGCTTGTGGTGGTGCTGCCCAGCCAGCCCCCCGCCCTGCTCCCCACAACCCCCTGGCACCCCTGCCTAGCCCCTACCCACCCC